GGGGTGGCTGAATGGGATTGGAAAGATTGGATGAATTCGATGGTTTTTTTGTTTTTGTCATATTTATAGGTAGCATCAAGTCATCACGAGAAAGGAATGTTGTATATAATATGGCGGAATTTTAAAATCAACATTCAAAACAGAAGTGAAAAAGGCGAAGAATCAGGTGCTACGTGCCAAGAGTATTAGTTAATCAAAACCAATTGCTGTTTATAACAGCTAAGCAATGGCAGGAAATTGAAATGCGATATGAATTTGCAACTGAAAAGTACATCATTTGGTTGAAGACACTCTGTAATGCACTTGGGATTAGAAATGACAAAATTGCATTTTCCAGATATTCACACCAGTGTAGTGCCACCGCAGCAAGGACATAGCAAATTCTTTTTAGGGCCAAAAAGACAACAAAATGTACTTTCACCATTTACTATAGCCTCTTCGTAAAGAATTGTAAAACAAAGATAGAATTACAAAGCACGAAGAGAAATTTGGCAATTTTTTAAACTAGTAAAGAGAACACTAAAACAAAGAGACAGAAGCCATCCAAAACGAAAACATTGTAACGAAAAGAGTAATTTTCATTTTTCAATTGTAATCTTTATTTATAAATGAATTGTAAAAGTAAATTATAATACAATTTAACATATAAATTTACTAAAATATATTTAACAAAACTCTTCTTATGTTATTTCATTAATGTTATTTTAGTAATTTCATTTCACTAACACATTTTAATAGTATTCTTAGATTTTAAAAACATAAAACTCTAAAAAATAATATAATATTTAAAAAAATTAAAAAACGTACTTATTTCATTATAATATTATTGCTAAAGCACAAATATTATCTAGTTTTAAGGAATATTTTGCTTGAAATACCTAAATAGATTTAACTTTATTCTTAAAATTTTCAAGCAAAATATTTACATACAAGCCTCTTACATTTCCACCCCTTTCCAAATAATATTTACTATAGAAAATAAAATAAGCAATCACACGGCCTCTAGTGAAAATAATAAAAGTTTAAAGGCTAAAAAGGAGATTTTACAAGTGAAGGAGACCAATGGCATTGCACAGAAGTTGGAGGATGAAAAATGAGGGTTTAAACCCTTCTTTAACATATATATAAAACCCAACTTTTGAGGTAACGGAAAACTGAGGATAAAAAAGCATTTGCTGACGTGGAAACGGAAAACATGCATCTGGAAATCCTAAAACGGAGGAAAAAAACTTAAGAGAGCACAAACGGCGCGGAGAGTACCCATATGTAGCAAGCCGAGCGAGGAATAAGGGATAATGCTTCAGAGGAACGAGAGCCAGTTTATAAAGCACGCGATTCCCTACTCCCAGCACCACCGTAGCCGTAGCCGCAATCGCCACTTCCACCGTCCGATTTCTCTCTCTCGTCCTGCTATCCATCTCT